ATAAATGATCATTAAAGATAATAATTGATTATTAAAGATGATAAATGAAGCTTCTCTGTGAGTGCAGATGGAGAACTACAGTAAGGCTCGGACGGTGGAGCAGCCGTCTGTCTGTCCGTTCCCCGGCCTCCCCCCCGACACGCCGGAGGTCCACGTCAAAGACGGCAGCAAGATCCGCAACCTGCTGCGTTACGCCCTGAGCCGCGTGGAGGCCAACCCCCGAGCGCCTGAAGACGAGGGTCGGCCCGCACCGGAGGAAGGAGGCGCGGCTGTGGAGGGACAACAGGAACCGAAAGGCCGTCCGCTCTGCAAACAGATCGTCTTCACGGCGACCGGGAAAGGCGTGTCCAAAGCCATAACGTGTGCCGAGATCGTGAAGCGGCGTGTGAAGGGGCTCCACCAGCTCACCCGGCTGCTGTACGGCACCGTGGTGGAGGTGTGGGAGCCGCTGGAGCCCGCCGCCGGCCTCGACAGCCTGACGGTCAGCAGGAACGTGCCCGCCATCTGGGTCCTCCTCTCCAGAGAGCCGCTGGACTGCAGCCAGCCCGGGTACCAGGCGCCAGGACGCTACGACGCCCTGTGGGCTCAGTCCGCTGGCAGGGAGGAGGGCGGAGGGTCCACCGGGCAGAGACCGGGACACAAGAGGAAGAAAGGAGGAGGAGGAGGCAGAGGGAGAGGACCCGGACGGCAGACTGGACGGTCCAGAGAACCCGCTAAAGGCCCGAGCTGACGGAGCGTTTCACAAACTGTAAAGACTAAAACGATGTGAGACGTTTCGGTCGATCAGCGTCCGTGTTTCCAGGCAGCCGTTCGTTTCACTTTGTTTCTTTAACCTGAAGAGACTTCAACCTTTTCCCTTAAAAGACTCTTTATCACTGAGTGAACACAGAACAGCTGGAAGGTTTTAGTTTATTTCTTATGAAAACTTCTTTTTCTGATATTTTTAGGGTTTGTTTTTGACCAGTTCAGTGTTTCCTTCTCTCTGATATTGTTCTAATGCAGTTTGTGTTCAGATATTAAATAATTCACTGTAATGTGAGTTATTTTATTTTAAGTTAAACATTTTTAAGTAGTTTGAACTTTTTTTTTTTCACAATACAAATTTCTAAATAAAGTCAGTGCCACTTAAAATTGACAATTATAATTGAGTTAAATGAACTTGAATAAATATATTAAGTTGAGTTGATGAGTAAAATGCTGAGTTTTATTTTCCAAGAAGAACTTGCGACCCCTCCATGAAGCTTTGGTGACCCCTAGTGGGTTCCCGACTAGTAGTTGATTTTATTATGTAAATGTTATATTTTGACAACATGTGATAGCAGGGACCCTGTCATTCAAAACTAGACTGCTACATTACTAATGATTAATGTAACTATAGCTGAAAATAGAGACTATTTATCCCTGAACAGCATGCAGTTCATGTAGGCTTTATGATGCAGGTACATTATGTCTTAAGTCTTGAACAGCAATATCCTGCTCCTCTCTACAAGAAACAGCTTCAGGACACACTTCATCTAACAATATGTCATTGTCTGCTGCTTGGGATCTCTCAATCACCTTAACTTGGTAGTTAAACAGCCATTATTGCCCTACAGTTTTCTCTCTTTCCTGCTGCTGCAGCTTCACATTAAAAGCTTTTAACTGCCGGATAATGAGTTGACTTTTATTTTGAAGCAAGTCAGTCACAGGAAGTGCCAAGTGTTTGTCAGCTAGCTTGAGAGCGTTCAACAAAAATGTGTCAAAACAAAACGATGACAATATTCCATCCTTTAATAATTAATGGACGGTGAACTCACTATCGAGCTGTGAGAGTTTGATGAGCTGAAACAGACCCAACATACATTAAATATACCGATAATATAGATAATATAGTTACTTAAAGAGAGATCTGATCCAGGAGCCTCGAGGATACTTGGACCTGGTCTAAACAGCTGAAACCTGCCTGTGATGGATGAGTTATCGGTCAGGAAGTTTGATTTGTGGGTAACAATAATGTAATTAAAAACACCACCGGTCCTGGTTTTATGAACTGTTCTTTGGTGGGGGGGTTTTTTGTGGGGGGGGTTAATGAAACCTGGAGCGAAACGTTGGACTGTAAGGCTGAAATGTGAAATGTGCAGTTTAAACAGGTTGAATGTGATTAAAGAGGTTTTATTTGTTTCACTCTGATGTTGTGTGTCAGCGACTCAAGTAGTTTTGTGTGTTTTCTGCCTACTTTTACTTTTACGTCCTACATTTTGACATAAATATCTATGGAAGCCTGTTTCTGCTAATAATTTAAAAAAAAGATTCTGAGTCATAATAAACCTCAGAATAATGTCTGTGATACTAATAATTCTCATTAGAATTATTATATAATTACAGAATCTCTTTTTTTTTCTCACATTTGCAGAAATGAGCTTACGTAAATATTCCGTACTATCTCCTCCTAAAAACAGGCTTGTTACTTTAGTTTTAATGCATTTGAGGGGAATTGTCGATAAATATTATTTTGCATTATTGCACGCCTTCCTAACATCAAGACGAGCGTGACGGACGTAACGTGATGAAACTGACAGAGGCGGTCGGTGGAAATGTCCTTCAGAGAAACCAAGAGAGTACTTTTTACTTTGAGTATATTCGGGGTTCCAACGGGTCCTGGAAAACCTGGAAATGTAGTAACTAGTTTTCCAGTCACCTGGAAACTCATTCAAATGACCAAATATCCTAAAAATAATTTAAAGCAAAGTGGAACAGACTTGCAGAGATCTTTTCGACTTTTTCCAAAGCTGCAAGTGAAGTTCTAAACTCTCCATTCATACAGACTATTAATGATGAAATGTCTTGTTGCTGTGGTTGATAAATACATGAACACTCGATCAATGCCGTCAGTTTACCTGAAGCTTCTGGGCGTTTGTGAGTGTCTACACAAACAAAGTAAAGACGGTGAATTAGTACTTTTCCTTGAGTAAAGATTATATTTGCATTTATATTTATGTAAATAGTATTTTGTTACAATGATTATTGTGAAGTAGAAATTCAACATGCTTGTTCTTCCAGACGAGTCCTAACTGGGTCGATCTATACGGGAAGAAATCTATTCATGGATCTGGACGTTGTCACAATCTTAAACCAGCTGCTGTGTTGTTTCTACATTTATCTGCCGCGGGGGAACGCCGCTGTAAATGTTTCTGCCCCGAGGAATTGTGGGATGGTGAAGGACGGTCCTGTGTGTCCTCGGCTAAAGGAGATAAGAAAGGAAGCACCTTTCCCTTAACATGTAGAGAATTCAAACATTATCATGGCTGCTAGTGAAATACTTTCACTCCTTTTACTCAGTTAGGAACCTTCCTGCAATAAAGAGTATTTAAGTGTTTGGTTTGTCGCTTCTGGGCTACTGTAGAAACATGGCGGACTGGTAGGTAAGGTAACAAAAACACGATTCCTGTATTCAGGTATTATACACTAATAAAAACATACCTATGGATATTATACAACATTTCTGACACAAAATATGCATTTAAGAAATATTTCTCAACTGTTCTGTTACACAAGAAAGAAAGTGTCTCTGTTAGTGTAAGTTATTAATTGTTGTGTTATAAATGTGTAACTGTTAAGGAGGGGACGCAGTTAACAGGCGGTCCCTCCAGGACTTCTCAGGGTCCTGATATCACAGCATCCACTCTCTCTTATCAATCTATCATCCATTAATACTCACAAACTATTCAACCTAATGCAGCTTTTTTCACTGTAGAAAAACAAGATCCTTTTATTTTCAGTTGATATATGACAAGTTATTGCACTCCACAAGAAAGGTACATAACACAAATACTAGACCCATACAACAACAAGCCATACAAACAATCAGACTAAGACAA